GTGGTGCCTCCTGGTGTGGGGCAGCCAAGCCTGTGCTCTTGCAAAGAAGCAGAATTTACTTTTGGAGGCTGCAGTTCTGGATCCTGCTAAATTCTTCTCTAGCACAACTAGCTTCCAGTCTGGGAAGCACCATTCAGCACATAACATTTCGAAATCTTCCTGATCTCTTCCCTGTATCTCACTAATAGCAAAGAGCATTCCTGGGGTCTTATTAGCACCTGCATGACAAGGAAGTTGGTATCACATCTTTGTATTAATTTGTTGGTTGCTCATTTCCTATATAATTTTCCTCATTGCTTATCACAATGCAGTAACATATGGTATTGTTAGCTTGATTGCTACAATACAGGGTTTATTATTACCCGAGGGGCCTGGTGGACAAGATTCAACAATATGCCCTGGCAGCAAAGAAGGCCAGGGGCATCCTGGACCACATTAGGCAGTGTTGCCAAAGGTCGAGGGAGATGATCCTTCCCCTCTGCTCTGCACCGGTGAGACACTCCTGCAGTGCTGGTTCCAGTTCTGGGCTCCTCAGTACAAGAGAAACATGGACATACTGGAGAGAGTCCAACAAAGGGCCACTAGGATGATGAAGGGACTGAAGCATCTCTCCTATTAGGAAAGGCTGAGAGAGCTGGGGCTGCTCAGCCTGGAGAAGGCTCAGGGGGATCTGGTCAATGTATACAAATGCCTGATGGGAAGAGTAAAGAAGACAGAGCCAGACTGTGCTCAGGGGTGCCCAGTGCCAGGACAAGAGGCAATGTGCTCAAAGTGAAATACAGGAAATTCCATTTAAACATAAGAAAAAAAATTTTTACTAAGGCTCGCACAGGTTGCCCAGGCAGGCTGTAGGGTTACATCCTTGGAGATACTCAAAACTTAAGTGGACACTATCCTGAGCAACCTGCTCAAGGTGGTCTTGCTTGAACAGAGAGATTGGACTGGGCAGTCTCCTGAGGTACCTGCCAGCCTCAGCCGGTCTGTGGTTCTGTGATTATATTAATGTGCAATCACAGAATCACACAGAATCACAATACATATTTTGTGACTGAAGTGACAACATATCTATAACAAAGGCTTGCATCTTTTCACTTTAATAGTGTTCATTTATTGTAAGTACCGTACAGCTTATGGGCTTAATTATAATAAAGGAAAACTTCCTCATTATTTTTCTGCATTAAGAAATACCAGACATTATTCACCAGTGAGAATAATTTACTTTATAATAATCTTGTTATCTACCCAGAGCTAAGATGGAAGTACTCGATTTTTGAGCTCTTCACTCTCAGTGGTATACAACGTGTTGTCTTGATCTGGTGGTCTTGTCAGGGGATGGGGATGGGATGGAGGGTTATGGGCTAAAGAAGCCAACGTGGAGGGGTTTGAGTGTGGGTTTTTTCTGGGGAAGCCATGCAGGGGACGAGAGAGCCCTTCTGTGGCCTTCAGCCTCCCAAGGAGGGAGAGGCTCAGCTCCAAAACCAAGGAGAAGCTGGCGGGGAGAGAGGCCGCTTCTCCTCTCCCTTGCATATGGGAATTGCTGGTGGGCGCAGGCTTGCCAAGTTCACTGCTGCTGGCTCCTTTCGCTGGGAGCTCGACCAGGAGGCTGTTTATTCCCATTCCAGCTTCGAGCGAGAGCCCTGGCCTGTATAGAGCTGCAGGGAGCAAGCTGTACAAAGTCTGAAGGTTTTGCTCCTAGACTTCTGTACTCATTTATACTATTCAATTTATGTTTTGCATTCTTTTTGTTGTCTTGATTTCCCAAAGTTTAAGAAAAGCATCTTTTTTTCACATCTGCAAATTTCATTTCATCCCATTCACGCCTGAAAAATAGCGAGAGTATTTCTGGAAGAGAATCTTGCCTTTCAGAAAAACTCTTCATTTACAGGGACAGTATTTTATAGCATGAAGTTATTTTATAGCATGAAGTCTGTTTTGGTTTTTTGCCTTTTTTTTAAAAAAAAAAAACAACACTTTTTTTTTTTGAGTGCTGAGAACTGGTTGGCATTTTTGGCATTAACCTGTGATCCACAGTAACCAGCAGACTGTCAGTCTTTCATCACCTTAGACTTGTCACCCCAAAATGGTGGGAAGCAAAAGTTTAGAGTGGGTTGAGAAGCTGTATGAATTTGTAACTTGACCTTTCTGTCCTCCTCCCTCTCTCCCTGCCAAAGCAATGATACCCGTGCCTTGTCTGGGCACACAGTGAAATAAAAGCAATTAACAAGAGCATGTGAGGTCTGTTCACTTGCTCTAATTATATATTCCTAACTAAACCTCTTAATTTCCTGTGGATTAATGCAGCAGCTTCCCCTCACTGTGTTTTTGTGCATTGTTGTTTTAGAAAGAGTTTGTGTGCTGCTGCTGTGTGGATACGGAGCAGCAGTGCTGTGTATACACAGGTACACAAGGATTTGGAGGGCATCAGTGGTAGTGATATTGCCAGGCAGCCCCCACTCCCCAAATGACAGGAGACCTCTAAATCTGTCTCCCAGGGGTCAGCTCTGACCTGGGAAGAGGCAAGGCTGTGATGTGAGGCTCATCTCTGTGGACACTGATGGGATGTTTCTTTGGAGAGTGAGACAGACAGTGGTCCTAGTAAGGCTTCCCCTCAGCCATCACCAGTTCACACCTGGTGTCTGGTGAAGAGAGGACCCTGTCCAGGAAGGGCTGTCAGTTATACGTGGTATTTCTGATGTCCTCTCGCAGCACCAGTAAGGCTTTCCTGTATCCTGATGACGCAGGAATTTTGTGGAAAGTGGCTGAGTACAACTTGGGCATCTTCATATGGGAGGAGGAGGATCGATTTTGTTATAGACAAAAACTGAGCTATGCAAGTTCTTCCAGGCTTGCCATACTTATTTTCACTTGCCCGCAATGTGTAGCCAAGCAAGAAATCCTGAGTGTTTGAGGTTTTTTTGGTTGGTTGGTTTTTATTACAGCCCAGCCCCACACAACTGTTTCCTGCAATTCCCTGTTAAAGCACCATACCCTGCAGCTGCTAGCTACTATTTCTCAAAGCTGACATTTGTGTAGCTGAATGGATCAGCAACATGAAACAGCTCCTGTGCTGGCTTTGAGTGACTCTTAAAATTAAGAGGACATTGAAGTGTCCCAATTCAAATACACGTAAATGATGCAGTGGTGCAGACATAGTGTTTCTCAAAGCAGGTACCCTGTGGAGCTAACCTGCTTATTTCTCTCCATTTGTTATAACCACTTGGATTGTTACTACATAGAAAAGCCAGAAATTTGGCAAAATACAGCATTGCTTGCTCATGGCAGAAATGTGACTATTTTGCCTTGAAGGCTCTGACTTGGTTCCTCTCTGTACACCACTAGTCAAATCCTTTTTATCTGCCTGATCATCTCTATGGAGCATCAAGTATAAAACCACCAACCACGTTTTATCTACTTCAAAGTTTGGGGTGTGAAGAATTAACTAAACATTTGTTTGAAATTATAAAGGAGCTGGGGTATAGTTATGGTTCCTGCTGCAGGGTGGGAAGCATGTGAGAAGCAGAACAAGGCCCTAGAGCTGTTTGCTCAAGAGATGCTGGAAGATGCAATAAATGAAGTTACAGCAGTACGCTTGCAGTGCACTTCTGTGCCTGGGTTTTTCTCAGCAGGGGAACACTTGTTAGACTCTATCAACCACACTCTCAGTTTCCTCATCAATAAAAATTTAGAGGATATTTCCCTGCTTTCTTTCTAAGGTACCATCAGAGCCTTAGTAGAAATACTGAATTTAACATAAGTGAGGTTAGACTGCACAACTCCCTCCATCGTCTCTCGTAGTGTTTTCACAGGGTGTTAGGCATCAACTCTCAGTTCTTTTCTTTTTTTTTTTTTCCTTTCCTCTTGGCTTGCTTATCACTTCTAAAACTGTTGGAGGCCAGCGCTGGGCTCCACGGGTTTGTTGGCATAGCTGTGTCAGCTTGGATTGTGAAATATCCATCCCTCAGCCAAGGCTGCTGGGCTGGCAGCGCGGTCCGGGCGCAGCGCTCTCAGCGTAAATTCGGAGGCGGCATTCTCTCCTCTTCTGTGTTGGCAGCCTCCTGCGCTGCATTTGAGGCAAGTAGAGAGTTTGCAGTCTGCTTCAAGTCATGTGTATGCTACAGATAAAGAAAATGTGGCGCTGACATCAACTAAAATATTTATGTACAAGTGCTTTTGATATGAAGTAGGGAGATTTTTTTCCTGTAGCTGAGTTGCTCTTAGGGAAGCAGGCAGTGATGAAACAGTGGTCTAAATAATTTTGAATTGTTTATCATAATTAATGCATATCAAAGTCAGCACACGCAGCTTATAAAGAGGACGTTTCTGTCTGACTTTGGTTTTTTGGAGATTTTTTCTCAGTGTTACAGATAACACTGAGGACTAACATGACCTGAATTTTTACGGTCCAATACGAGAGATATTACAAAGCTTCTGCTAAGGACTCTGGCTGTTGACAGTGAGAAATCTTCTCACATGCTAGCAGTAAAGAAGGTTAGTGGGACAATGGAAAACTACTTTCTCACCCAGCTGCATTCCTAGTGAGATACTAGACTCTTTCAGTGACTTCTCTAGATGGTGTATTGTGTTTCCCTATATATTAAGACAAAAAGGGATCATGGAATCAGTGCACATTGTTACTGAAGCAAGAACTATCTCCACATTTGGCTTTTCCTTCAGTGGATTAAGACCTCAGCCATGCATTTGAAGTTGCAATTTCTGAAAGTTAGAAGAGACCTTCTAACTGAAGCTTGAAAAATGACATGTATTGACTTATTTTTACTCTGCAAGATGACGTGAACTTTTATGGAAAGCAGACCTGCCCTAATCAGCAGATCCTTATGAAGCTCCATATCAATAGGTTTGAAAGATGAATGAGTTTAAGTAAATAATTTCGAGGTTTTTTATTTGAGAATTAAACAGAAAAGGTATTGTTTTAATGCTTATCTTACCTTATTTTGCAAACACTTTTTTTTTTTTTTCCTGTTCATTTCCCACAGAAACGTTCCAGAGGTCAAGTGCTATTCGACAAAGTGTGTGAGCATCTGAACCTTTTGGAAAAAGACTACTTTGGACTAACATACAGAGACACAGAAAATCAAAAGGTAACCCACAAATCTGTGGCTGCCCTTTGGCATATGGACATCAGAGCTCCACAAGACACCCCCAACAGACAGTTGCAAGCAGTTCAGAAGTTGTTACCTTCCTTGCCAAGTTCCATAGATATAGCTGAGCCATTGTTTTTTGTTACTCTGTACTTCTCAAGAGCATCCCCTGTGTTTCCTTCGTTTCCCTCTGTGTTGGCTATGACATGAAAGAAGTTAATCATATAACTGGTTCTCTTTTCTAGTATGATTTATTTCATTACTGCCATAGGTTAAAGTCAGACTTACATTCACAAATACACCGCTAAACTGTAACACTAAAATACGGCTTAGTAATGCTGTGGTTGGGATACAGATAGGCAGGAGTTGATTAACTGCTCCTGCTAACTGCTGAGATAAAATAAGGCTTTAAGTCTTGACATGCTTTATCTGAATGTTATTGTTGATTTGTCTAAAGACATAAATCTTCAGAAGCAGTTGGCAGCAATAGTGAATAACATTCAGCATGTCTGCATCTCAACTTCAGCTTATTGAATAAGCTGTGTATTAACAGTGTCCAAGATGATCTGGTGTGCAGGTGAGAGATATATATATATATAGTTTTGGACATGATATAATGAAAGAGAGAATATCAAAGGATAATTTAAAATATGCTGTGTGGTTTTGGCATTTAAGTATTTTGAAATAAGCCAGTAACAAAACTTTTTAGCAATATGTGCCGCAGCCCAGCAGAGCTCACCAGACGAAGGTATTTTGTGCTTTGCAGGGCCTGAAAGGTCTTCCCTGATAAAGCTGGGAGCTATTACTGCTTCTTCAGCTATTTATGTCTTGTGAGAACAACAGTTTTGTTTTCTAGGCTTCCCTTTGTTTTAGTTATATATGATACAAAAGAAATTAGTCCTTTTTTTTCTCTTTCTCCCTTTCTTTAAAGACTTCTAAATACATGGATTTTGTTTCTGATTCAGAAAATCGCTGAAGCAGACATGTGGTCCATGCCGGTGCAAGATAACACTTTAGCACATGCTTATTTTTGAGTTGTGGTGAAAGTCAGGCAGATGTTTAAGTGCTTTTCCAGATAGGTGTGCTTACCTTTACTGGAAAGAGGAGAATGTATTCATTATTAGCAGGTGGTTTAGTAGTACTAAACATTTCTAGATCACCCATTACTTTACAGAGCTAAACAGCTAAAGGAGGACTGCATGCCACCACATTTATTGATCAATAACATACATATTTTTGATATCAAAGTACTTAGTAATGAACCTCCATCCTCTGCCAGATAACTGCCAGTCAGCCAGTATACTTGCCCACATCACATGTCACCTTTGAAAATAGAAATCCCATCTTTAATTTCTTGGTGCACAGTGTGCTTTTGTGCTCAGCAATAGCTGGAGCTCTTCAGGCTCATGTTTTGCACCACAGACTGGGTTTGGACAGCTGCAGACTGGTTGTTTTTGTTGGGGAAGGATTGTTGTATTCTGTTTGTTTGATATTTCTTTAGTATTTTTTTTTCCTCTGATACATTTGTTTATTTTTCTTTGGAGAAAGTGTAACTTTCCTAGGGGAAGCGAACTTTTTGTTCTGGGCTGTGTGATGCGTTTCAAATATTAATTTGATTCTGTTAGAGGACAAGGGAGCAGCAGCTCTAGGAGACCCCAAGCTGCTGTGTACCTCCTCCAGAGGAATTTCGTCTGCTCCTTGGCATCCATGGAGTAGTAACACATGGCTGTGATAATTCTCCACCTCCTCAGCAGGGGTTTTCTCTTGCGTAAGTCACCGGGCTCTGCGCAGCATGGATGGGGGCAGCCCCAGTGCTTCATTTCTGCCTCTGGTTTCCCCCCGCGCTCCCTCTGCCTCTGGGGATCCCCTCGTGCCCACGCCGGGCTGCAGATGGGGTAGTACCCTATTCCTTATCCTTTTCAGTCCTTTCAAGATTAGAGCAAAAAGACAACCAAACAAACAAAAAGAACTTGCCTTCTTAACAAGCTTGTAGAAATTTAATCTTCCCAGAAGATACTCTGGAAAAATATTTCTGTGGATTTATTTAATTAATTTATATTTTTTTTTATTTCAAACCATTCAGCCCTTCAGCATCTGAGAAGGTTAATAAAAGTCCTGCTTCTACCCAGGACCATTTCTTGAAAGTTAGTGTTTTCCCTGCCAACTGCTGCTCCAAGGAAAAAGGGGTGTCAGACCTTCATACGTTTTAGCTTTGACTCATAATGCTGTTTTAAAAATAATGTTTATTGTGTTTTCTACTTCATATTGAAAAAAGGAAACATTTTCTTTGCAGAATTGGTTGGACCCTGCCAAGGAAATCAAGAAGCAGATCCGAAGTAAGTTTGATACCTTCTGTGCGTTTATTTCAGGGAGTCTGGAAAACTTCCATTCTTGTGTCTTCAGACCTCAAAAATCTGCACAAAAAAAGTCTCTTCCTCTAAACTGCCATCAGTGTTTGTGAAGGTGTTGAACCTGATTGGCTGGGGTGACGTGCTGCTCTTGGGTTGAAGGCCCTGTCCCGCCATGTGCCCCCAACACCGGGGGCTCAGCACCCCCCTCTCCCCAACCTCTCCCCTGCCCCGCTGCTGACGGGGGACGGGGCCACAACCCCTTCTGGGTGCCTTCCCCCAGGAGACAGTGCTCCCTGCGGCGCGACAAAGCCTATTCCACAATCTTCTTTTGCATCCTGTCCAGAGTCTCTGGCAGGGGAATTACCTGCATCTTTTAGGTATTTTACCCCATAATGAATGCAGAAGTTACCGAGGCTTGTAACACACGAACTTGCATGCTGAAAACAATTTGCAGAAAGGCAAAAACCTGAAGTTTGACGTTAAGCAACGTAACCTTAGGGACTATGTCCTGTATATAAATTATTTCTATGTGTTACTGATATTTATATCGTATGCAGGAACGCTGCTCATGCCCCATACTGAAATACTTCACTGATGCAAAAATAGCACTCTGTCTGAAATATCTTTTCTTCCTGTATTTTAAAAGCTTGAACTTTGCTCCTAAAATGACCATTCAATTCACAGAGAACCAGTCAATTTTCTGCTTCACATTAATATTTTATAATGCTAAGTTGTTAAATTTAGCTGTCTGCTACATTAGAAATTCAAAAACCTCTTGAAGGAAAACCTTGTCAATACTGCCAGGCTCAAAATTTGACCTGCCTTTTTTTCCCCCCTTCACTTTTTAAAATTGAAATGTTTTTGTATGTGACTTCTTTGGGCAGGAGAGCCTCAGTAGTTTTTTCTTTGCACATTTTATGATTGACCCCTTCTAGCACTTGTGCTTTCACAAGCAAATACTTCTCGTAGTTCACATTTGTTGGGTCAGGCATGACAAATGAATCACTTTCCTCTACAAGATTCAAAGAGTTAATTTACACTGGCTGGAACACTTCCCCCCCTTACTATGAGCAACCACTCCTTTCCACTAGTATTATTTTCATTAAAAATAAGTGATCTGCAATAAAAAGTAATGAAAATTTGCCTTTTTTAATCTCTTGAGAGGCTGGATCTGGAGAGGAAGGTGTTGCAGACCTCCATGAGTCAGGTTACACTGATGGCCAATGCAAATAAAGCAGCTCAGCTCCACACCACTGATTTGAAATGCCTTTAATATGTGTCTGAGCCATGAGGTAGACAATGAAAGGTTGTGACAGTGAGAGTTTATCCAGGGCAGAAGAGTCTTGTCCTGGACTTGGCGTGCGAGACACTGGTATTTGCAGAAGATGACAGTGATAATTTGCTTGCTCTGTGCAGTTCACCCCAGAAGTGTGGAACAGGACAACAGTGGAAAAGTAGGGCTGTTACCCATTAAGCTTTCCAAAACACATATTTATAATCCTGCTAAATGCTGGTTGAGTGGTGCAACACTCGGATATCCATTATTCCACTGCAGACCATGGGGATTTCATGACACTGATAGAGAAATGAGGCGCTCGCCGTGTGTGTGGCCCCTAGTCCACACCCCATAGTTGTAAACTACTAACTTGCACAGTGTTAGTTTTTATTTAAACTCCTGTAAGTGAGGGGTGAAGACCTCTCACTCTGGTTTCTTAACTGCCCATGCTATGTGATAGGCTATGTCATCAGTTTGATTTATTTTGTGTGTGCTGGAGGAATAGATTTTTGGGCAACAACTGTGGTGACGCAAACCAGTATCCATTCCATGGGTAACCTAAACTTTTGGAAATAACTAAGTAAGAATTCCTCAGTCTTATGTGCTGTTTTTCAGTCATGCTCTCTGTGTTTGTCCTTGCAGTTTTGTCTGCACAGTAATTTATGTCTGCTGAAGGTTGGAAGCTATGTGCTGAGGCAGCACTCTGAGAGTATGCTGTGAGCTGAGTTGGGCAGCCAGATCCTGGCACATCACCCTGCTCCAGAGCCCATTCATGCTCTGGCTTGTGGTGTTTCCAGGTGCCTCCATGTTTTGGGTTATTGGTTTTTAAAGCTTGTATAGGCTGTGTTTTCAAATGGTAAATTCCAGTAAACATTGTTTTCAGACTGAGGGGGTTTTTTAGTGTTAGTAATAACTTACTACTCCCTTAGGGTCCTCTCACTTCGGTGGAAATCTTAATAAATAAGAAAAAAGCTGTAAAATCTGATGTAACACTGTAATCATGAGAGGGGAAAAATAGTATCTTCAGAACGATGTATGGGAAAAAGATACTATATTCTGTTCTTATGAATTGCTTGGCTGGAGTATTTTTAAGTCTGCTGGTAATCGAACAGTGTATCTCCGTTTGCACTGACAGTGTACTTTCAGTCAACCTGTGTTCTTTTCCAGGTGGTGCTTGGCAGTTTGCATTTAATGTGAAATTCTACCCTCCAGACCCTGCCCAGCTATCTGAAGATATTACCAGGTGTTTAAAACATTAAATACCTTGCAGAAGGGGCTTAAAAGCTATTTGTAGTAGTGCTTGCACTCTAATTATCCAAGTAAAGGAATGTTTTGTTTTCCCATTGGCATCCTTTCTCTTGTGAGCTTACGGAAAATATGGGATGCTTTGGCAGAAAAGACACTGTGAACAGTGTCTGTCCTCTGAGCTAAGAAGGCTTTTTATTTTCTATAATTTAACCCTAAAACCAAGCTTTTCCAATACACATGTTCCTGAGAGTTGATTTTAATTTTCACAAATATGCCTGATGCCCGGTTTTGCCAGTGGTAACAAGTTATTGTCAGTAAAATCATAACTATGAAAGGAAAGAAGTAGGGTGGGAATAAGCATGTGTGTGTAAATTTTATATGTCATTTGACAAAGTAAGCTGTTGATGGTACAGGGAATATGGTGGTAATGAATGGCTGCTCCCTGCTATCCAAGTCAGTTATCTCTTGTGATCTGCACCTCTGCTCCCTGGTTTTGTATACAGATTCCAAGCAAAACTAAAAAAAAACCAACAAACCTCACCTTGTTAACTCCTTGGTATAAGGCAGGAAAACCTTGGAGCCATGACAAGTTTTATGCCATCAGCAAGCCATTCCCTAGCCTGTTCCAACATTCTGCAACCTGTGGGTATTTTTACTCTTCGTTCCTTTGTGGATTACTTGTTGCTTTTAAGGTAGCATGAAGCCTTTGGCTTAGATCAGAGAGACAGGGTGCCAAGAGTTCACACTTCAACAGAGGTCTTCCAAAGGAAAGGATTGCTTTTTTCCTCTTGTCACCCTCAAGGAACTCTGTGCCTTCACCACCAAGCTAATGTTCTTCACTTTTTTTCTGTTTTCTTCTATCTGGTGATCCCTTACACTGCTTATCACTGTGATTTTAACAGCATTTACTGTTTACATGTATTTTTGAGAAAGCTTAACAGTTTGCTAAAGAGACAACTTAATTTTTTTTTTTAATGGCTTGGAGTTCAGCTTCCCTTTCATGAACAGTATTTGGGTTGTTTTTTGTTGTTTGGTTTTTTTTTTCCTCCTTAAAGAAAAGAACTATCAAGTAGTTTTATGTCTTAGTGATTTATGATAGAAACTTGGTATGTTTAATGGGGAATTCTCCATCTAGGTCACTAAACAAAGTAATAACTTATTTTGTTAAGAAATCTCCATGCTGCTTTATAAACTGAAATTAGGTGTTGCTACCCATAAATTAGGCAAGGTTTGTTTTCTTTTTTTCAAAATTATTATTATCCTTGTTAACACTTGAAAAACTTGGGGCTTGGAAGTTGTTTGCAAATTAGTAGAGGAGCTGCTGCTTCGTGCCGGTCGTTGGGCAACACTCCTTTGGGGACAGCGGTGGAGGAGCATCTTCTGAGCCGCCTTGGCGTTCCGTTGCAGGTACTACCTCTGCTTGCAGCTGAGAGATGACATCGTCTCGGGTCGGCTGCCCTGCTCATTCGTCACGCTGGCCCTGCTGGGCTCCTACACTGTGCAGTCGGAGCTCGGCGACTACGACCCCGACGAGTATGGCAGTGACTATGTCAGCGAATTCCGTTTTGCGCCGAATCACACTAAAGAGCTGGAGGATAAAGTGATCGAGCTGCACAAGAGCCACAGGTAGGAGGAGGGCGTCAGTGTGGGCTGTAGCCACCCTTCAGGTACTGTTCTGGTGTTTCAGGAAGTGTTAACACCTGCTGCAATATACCTAATAAAAATATTTTTCAGGCAAGACTCCTCTCCATGTCTTTGAGTAGAGAAGAGCTTTGCAGTATGGAAGACAACAGGGTACAGCTGTAGTTCTGACAGGCTAAAAGTGTTTTCTAGGTGCTGGATATTATTTTGGTCTCTGTTTCCTTAACATTGATGATAGAATTGGTTGCTTTTCCTTAGGGGAATGACACCTGCAGAGGCTGAGATGCATTTCCTGGAGAATGCCAAAAAACTATCAATGTATGGAGTAGATCTCCATCATGCCAAGGTATGGACTGCAGTTTTTTCACCAGTCATCTTTATCCTGTGGCATAGTACTTGAATCTGCATGGGCTCCCTGATGTATTATTTCTTGGTTTTTTGAGATGGGCATTTTGTGGGATAAATCAGTTGTCAACATGAGGAAAGGTAACTCTGGGATAAGCATACATATATCTTGCAACTGTGACATAACCTAGCCTGTAGATTGAAAGATGTTGCAGATCAACCTTTCCTGTTGATTAAACAACCAAATCTTTTGGGAAAATATTGAGTGGGTGGAGTAAAGAGGAAGGATATTAGAAGCTGTCCAGAAAGTGATCAATTGTCATTTTATTCAGCTACATTTTCCCATTTAATAAGGCCAACTATGGTATCTTAACTAGATAGACCATTTCTAATGCTGCAGAGAACTTTCAAGCAGTTATTTAGCCGTGCTGGAGACCTAATCAGATTGATAGTAATGGGGAGACAGCGGCTTGTCTCTCTTCTGAAGTGTGGTCATTGCAGTTGACTGGAAGGGCAGCAGTTCCGCTGGAAACATTCTCCCATGATGAAGTACTTTTTCTAATCATCATCAGCTTAAGTTATGAATAAAAGATGGTCACTCTTATTGTGGCTTGGGAGAGCCTTGTGTTGGTTGTCTGGGTTTGGTTGTTTTGTGGGGTTTTTTTTCCCAAACAAATAATTACTACTAGTAATTTTTTTCTTCTCTCTTCAAAGCCAGGCTAATGGATTTTAACATCTTTGAGGTTAGCAAACATCCTTGGCAAATGAGTGATGAACAAAGAATCCTGAGCTGTGGAGAGCGCTGCATTTTCTGTAAAGGTCAAATTATTGTGAGCCTGTTTTTATATGCTGCAGCAGATCCTTTCAAGAACTGAGATAAATTTGCAGCTTGGATCTTGAAAGTGCCTGCAACCATGTCCCAGGGGCATTTTGTAGGAGCTGTGCATGTGTGTTACAGAATTCAAGGCAATCTTTTGTGTTCTGTTAATTGCCTTCACTGAAAATGAAAAATCAGGGTATGGCTCAACGGGCAGCGCTCTACCAGGAGGCATGCTGCTGCTTTCCCTCTGTCTTGCAGATAGGCACAAAATCTTGAGACACATTTGGAGCAGCGGTAGAAACAGATTGGTAAATGTCACTCAGTAGCTTTTTTTTCAACATCCTTTGTCCAACACAAAGAAATCTGCAAAACAGCAGCAAAGTGAGTTCCTGTTCCAAATACATTACAGGCCTTGTTACTGAAAATTTAACATAGCATAGCATTAAGGCCTAAGTATTTTTTTCAGAGTGTTGGAGAAGGGCTGTGAAATTTAAAATAGGAAATCCTGAGATATTTTTTTATTTTTTTTTCTAAAAAAATATTAGTGACCAGTGTTACTCTTCTGTTTTTCATATGGAAAGACTCAGAGCAAGAGAAGTTGGTAGACAACCTGATCACTTTCTAAAGTGATGTTCATTTAAAAAGTTGCAGCGCTACCCGAATTGAGTCTGCTGTGGGTTAAGAAGCCCAACACTAATCTTGGAAACAGCTGAAAGCGGGAAAAGTAGGCTCTACATGAGAAGTAATGCTTAGTTGTAATTAGGTCTGTCAGTGAGATCTGATGGCTAGGGGACAAGTATTTCTGTGGATGCCTTTTTGAAGTCACGCTATGGCAGATGTCTCTATGTAAATGTCAGTTCACTAAGACTGTGCTAGTATCCTAGGTGTTCAACAGATGCTGGACTCACCAGCTGCTGCTAAAACTAGTTCTCAATTATCCAACACAAGGCTCCAATAAAAAAGTGTTCAAATAGACAGATTTTGTCCTCTGGGCTGTCACTATTCTGATAAAGCCCCCCATTTGTATGCAGGGACGTGAAGCTTAGCATCTCGTGTCGTGGACATTACAGGTAACAGTTTTCTGTTCCATGCAACCACATTGCTCCTGAAAAAAAGCCAAATTATTTTATTTGGGTTTCATTTGACGCCACCAGTATCACATTGAAAAGCAGTCCATAACACCAACACGTAACAGAAGCCGTGAATGGACTTAGATCTGCTGCAAAGGTGGGGATGAGGGAAAAAGGCATTTCTCAACAAGGTTTTGAGAAAGTATATTGGAAGAAGGAGCCCCTTGCACCTGCAGCTGTGTGCTGTATGTGAGCACATGTACATTTTGGGCATTTGCCAAACTATGGGATTACTGTCAATGAAACTTTATTTTTTAGAATGCATTCACTGTATTCAGACCTTACTCTGCTTAGGAAACTGTGACATTGAAGTCCACTGAAAAAAATTAGCTTTGTCTCTTCTGTAGTACCTGACAATGAGATCACACAAGAGCTTTGTTTAGAAAAAAATCTACCTTTAAGGGGTGATAGCATCGTTGTTGGGAGCTACATGCTCTGTTGGTTTGTTTCCTAACACTGAGTTGATTTTGTGGCACAGATTCTGTGTTCTGTATCTGATTATAAAACTTTTTTTTTCTTTTTTTTTTGTATCTCAAGCTGTGCTGTAGCCTTTTCATCATGATTGACTATGCATGCCTTTGTGTTCCTCTTAAAATGTAATCAGATTTTCACTGTGTCCCTAAAAGGCGGCTTGTCAAGAAAATGAGAGGAAAACAATGAATTCATGTCATGGTTACCATAGGGTGACATCTTCATAGCTTCTCTTGCGAGACTTTTGTAACTTTTAAGTTATTTTAAAATAATTACAAAGGAAGTCTGTGCTTTAAGATGAATCCTTCTTTTCTCCAACAGTATTAGTACTCAGCTAAATGGAAAAAAACAGAATTATGTAGTCTAGTGGTGATAGCAGACAGTGAAGATTGGTATTAGACTGTCTGAAGGCTTCTAAAGGAAAGAGAAGTGTATATTTCTTACTTTAAAAATACATATCTATGGGTATATTCTGATAAGATTGTTGCCAAATCTTTTATAGTGCTAACATGTCTGACCTACAGCTTTCCTGACAAAAATAGGTTATAGCACAGGCACAGTCACACACTTTTTAAAGAATCTTTCTGGTCCAAATGCCCAACTTTCTGCCCGCTGGTCATTTCAAAGTGAAAATACTGAGCATAGACACAACAGCGCTAAAGAAACTAACAAAGCAACTAAAGCAAAGATGAGCAACCTACAGGGGAAAAAAAATCTATCTTGAGGATTCACAAGGCTAAGTTAGGGAGGTGAGTGATGATGGGAGAAGTAAATTTGTATGCTGTCCTACTTACTTTCAATCTGGTATTTATGCTAATAGCACTTTATTATGCTAATAAAATGTTTCTTTATGGTTAATATCATTCTTTTAATAACATCTAAAATTTCCCCCCTCCTTTTGGAGTCTTTCTAAAATATAAGGAAACACTTGCAACGCTCATTTTCTCTCACCCTGTCCAGCCTTACTATTACTTGCATGAATGCAGTCAGTGAGTAGGGTAGCTCTCAGAAATCAGGTCACTACAGCTGATGCATTAAAAAGACGTCGCTCAAATAGAAACGGAATATACAAGAACCTGTAGTACTGTGAGATGTAAGGAGAAATATTCAACTAAGTGCGTTCCTTGCTTTTCCAGGATTCTGAAGGAGTGGAAATCATGCTAGGAGTTTGTGCAAGTGGTCTCTTAATATATCGAGACAGACTGAGAATAAATAGATTTGCCTGGCCAAAGGTTCTGAAAATTTCCTACAAGAGGAATAACTTCTACATCAAAATCCGACCAGGGGAGGTAAGGGCATCCTGACAGTCTTTAGTGAATGAACCTTTTAAAAAACCCTGTGTTTTCATCAGTTTGTTGATTTATCATGTCTTACAAGCCTCTAACATTCCTCTCCGTTTATATTTTTTATTTTGTGCTGATTTTCTTAGGAAAGATTAGGTAAATATTTTATTTAAAATACAGGTAAAATAGTCTTTGGTCTTTTTGTGTTTACCTCCATGAAGGTAATAACATAAAGAATAAATATGGCCATCTGCATGTGAAAAGCTCATTCATATTATGAATACTTTGGGAATTTAAGTAATATATTGCTTATTCATGGAGTACCTACCGTCATGGAGTACCTATTCATGGTTCATCTACCGTCATACTGTATATTAAATTAGTGTCTATTCATCTAACCCACTAAGAGACATAGACAGGCCATACCAAATTTTGTAAGTGTATCAGACTAGTAAATTTGGAGTCTGGATAGAAATCTGGAGACTGGCAAAAATGGAGTCAAGCTTCCATCATTCAGCAGTTTTGGTAGCTACAGCATTAGCCCTCCTTGGCCCACAGGAGCTCATCTTCTGGCTCTGGAGAAGGTGATGAGAAATCTCGTACAGTGAGTGCCCTCTCGTGGCTCAGCCGGGTGCTGAGCAAATACCTACCTCATGGGTTGAGCGTGCGCCAATGCAAAAATAAGTGATAAATCTTCGCAAAAATCCCAGGAAGAGTTCAGGATCATCAGGGGCAAAGGAGTGTCTTCATTTTAAGTGCTGGTGCTATAATCGGTCTGTGATAGATGAAAAATCTATATCTATTTTAGAGGTGGAGCTGTATAGCAGGACAGAAATCACCTGGACGAGGACTGGCGTTACCCCCTTAGTGCAATATGGCAGTTGGGAGTCCCAAGCCAATGTCTTCACTACCAGCTTCATAAGTGACCTGGGAAATCTGCTGGGGCTCCCCAACAGCCCCAGGGCGTCTGCCTAAACCAAAATCCACAAACCTACACCTTCTGCCTCTCAGCAGACACAGTTTTAGTAACCAGCTTCCCAGTCTTGAGTTTGATTTAAAAAAACAAAACAAAACAAAAAACAACACACCACCCACCCTCCCCATGAATAGCCACTGATGTTCCCAATGCCTGCCCTCACGCTGTCCACCACTGAAGTCCTATAGAGCTCTGCTGGTCTTGGTATGTAGCATTCTGTGACCAGGTCATAGTTTTTTATGCAAAATAATCAATGCAGTCTCTTTCCAGATCACATTCAGTGATAATGTGATTCAGCATCCCATGTGTTGCTTATATCATCTTTATTGTTTTGCTGTTTCCTGTCTTACTTCTCTCTGTCAGCTCACTGTAGGGATCCAGGCTTCCTTACAAGTGCCCTTCTGCCTACCTCTC